AGAAGGGAAAACATCAACTTTCATGGTTTTCAGCTCCTGAGTTTCTGGGTTGCTTGTTTCTGCAGCATGACACCTCCTATCCTGCCTGATACAGCCTGGCTCATAGCCTGGATCTCCAGCCCAGGCCTGCTGTCATCAGAGATGACCACACAGGCCACCTGTGCCACCCACTTGGCACTCTCGCCTCCCAGCCTCTTGATCTCCAGTTGTGTCTTCTGTCCCTCCAGCTCAGCACCCACATCTGTGGCCCTTCCTCCACAACAGTCCTGTATCTGGAATAATGAGCTAAGACAACTCCCAACCTTTTCTTCTCTGTGCCCATCCAAATCCCCAGTCACTTGACCACCGACCTTTCCCTGTATCAGTCCCCACTTTCTAGCCCATGAATTCAGGGGTCCAGAACCTCCTCTCTTTGTTGGCCAATACGCTCACCTCCCATACCTCACTCTCTTTCTGTCCCATGGCCAGGTGATACCACCACCTGGCCGCCTCGTCCATGCCCATGGCGTGGCCTGCTGGACCACCTGCACGGTGGAGCAGCAGTGGTACCATGCCAGCCTCTGTTTCCCAGCCGGCTTTCTCCCGCTCCCCTCAAAGGGGGTTCACACCTTCTCACCTCTCCAATCTTTCCCCCCTGCAACTTCCTCCTCTTCTCTCAGTGGGTGACCTCACTCCATTTCACAGAGAAAATTCCTGGGCAGGGATGTTGTCAGCTTCCTGTCCCTGATGTCACTGGCACCTCTACCCTTGGGTCACAGTGGGAGAGGTGACTGCATCTCCTCTTAATCAGGTAGGCTGGAATCTCACCAGCTCCTTCCTATGAGCCTCCCCCTCCTATGAGCACCCCTCTCACCCCCAAATGTACTCAAGTCTTTCTTCCCTAGACTCCAGGCCCTCCTCCAGCTACTGTGCCCCAGCTCTCTCATTCCGCCCTCCAGCCCAGGCCCTAGGGAAGGTGTCTGGATCTGGATCTGGATCCTCCTTCTCCTTACTCCCCCTGCTCACTCCGTTTCTCCTTCCACCATTTATACAGCAACAACCCCTCAGTGGCTGAAACAAGCAGACCCTCTTAGGTTCTTAGTGCTAAACTTCTGGGCAGTGTTCTGCCCTAAGGATCTCTTTTGATTGTCCATCTACCTCTTTGTCTGCTGCTTCTCACGGCTCCCCTCCACCTCTAGCCCCTGGGCCGGGGTTCTCTAGGAAAAATCTCCAGGTGACAGACTCACTCTGTACTAGAGCTTTGTTCTCTCCTGTAGCAGCAATTAAGGCCACTGCAACTGAATAATTAATGACATCATTATTTGCATAAGGACAGCCTCTCCTGTTAGAATGTCAGCTCTTTGAGGGCAGGACTGTCGGGTTTGCTCCCAGTTGTATCCGGTGATTGGCCCCCTCACTGGTGTTCAGCAAGTTATTGTTGAATACAAAAGGTGGGACCGGTTCTTGTCTTTTTCATCTTTGTAATCCCAGCAGTCCCAAGGCCTGTTCAGTGGATTCTGGTTGAAGGCTTACTATGCTCAAGTTCTGTTAGCCATGCTGTCTACTATCTCAGTTAATCCTCACAACAACCCTCCACTCTACAGATTAGGGAACAGAAGCCCAGAGAGGTTATGTGATTTGCCCAGTGCCACACAGGCAGTAAATCGCTGTGTCATGATTAGATTCTGGGTCTTAAGTCAGTTGAATGGTGGGCCCTCAAAATTAAGTCCATGTCCTAACCCTCGGAATCTGGGAGTGGGAATTTATTTGGAAAAAGGGATCTTTGCAGATACAATTAAGTCAAAGATCTCAAGATGAGATCATACTGGATTAAGATGGGCCCTGAATCCGATGACTGGTGTCCTTAGAAGAGAAGGCAGTAACATGAAGGCAGAGGCAGAGATGGGAGCAATGCAGCTATAAACCAAAGGTCAAGGATTGCCTGCAGCCGCCAGAAGCCAGGAGAGAGGCGTGGAACAGATTCTCCCTCAGAAGGCTCCAGAAGGAACAAACACCTTGATGTCAGACTTCTGGCCTTGAAAACTGAGAGAATACATTCTGTTGTTTTAAGCCACCTAGTTTGTTAATTTGTTCCGGTGGCCCTAGGAAACACATATAGACCCTGAACCACATGGCGATGTACTGGTGCCTCCTGTCAAGCCTGGAAGGGAGGGGCCTCTTGAATCCCAGGTTGTGTGACTGTGGCCTGGTCACTTGCCTTCTCGAGGCCTGATTTCTCTGTAGCCAAAGAAGCACTTGGATATTCCAAGTGTCGCTCCAGCTCTGACACTCTACAGCCCTAAGGAAAACCAGCAGACGGGCAAACAGGGTTATGTTGGGATTTTCAAATTTATTCCAACATGCTGTTTTTTTTAAAAAATATCCTCAGGCTGAACACTCAGCCAGAGCTGTAATAAAGGCAATTATTATACTTGTAAAAACTTCTCATTCACAGTACAGATGTAATTTACAACAAAGGTCACACACATCAATACTGAGCATTTTTTTCCTTTTGTACATCAGACTCTGTGCTTTAGACCTGCAAGATTTTTTGTTGATTTTTTTTCCCCTTTTGCACTGATAGATACCATACTGACATTGCAGGATGCAAGTGTAGAAACTGGAGTTTAAATAAAATGACAGGCAAAACTACCCCATCCCAGTGTGGTTGCTGTACATATATCTACAGTACGGTTTTTGGAATGTATTGCCATTTAAGAACATAGAAACTTTCTACAGACAATTTCACATACAGAATACATACACCTTTTAGAAAAAAAAGGCAAATATTTATCTTACAGAGAGTGTGTATCTTACATTTGCCTACACATTCTTTTTTCCTGTTTCATTCCTCTTCCTTTTTTTAACACTAGGTTTAGTAAAGTGATCGTAAGTGCCGAAGCGCTTTTCCGATGGAAAGCGGACTGGATTCACAACACAGAAGCAGAATTGGTGGAACGGGTCTTTGGGAATTTTCTCCCCTTGGTCAGTGCTGCAGATCTGTCTCCAAGGATGGCTGCCCAGGCAGGACTTTTGCTTTAAAAAGATTTGTCTAGAGAAGGAACTAGAGAGCAGTTCAGCTCAGCTATATTGCTTGTTCCCATTCAAAAGGGCCCAGTGAGGATGGAGCAGGTGCTAGAGGGTTCTGGAAATGAATTCTTTCAGACTTTTTCCCATGGAGGGAGGTGGAGGGACTGCTGGATCTGGAAGTTGGAAGGGATGGAGGTGGGAGAGTGGGCAGTTCGCTGCTGTCAGCCTCCTGGAAGGGTCTCAGGGGACAGGGCCATGGGTGAGGGGCAGGGGGAGTGGGCTTGGTACAGGGTGCCTCGGAGAGGAACAGGGTTAGTACCCAGAATGACCCTGAGCTTGCCGAGGGTGAAGGACATCGTGGAGGGTGGGCCTGGGAGCCAAGTGTCTTGGAATCCCCAACAGAGGGCCAGGGCTGGTTTAGTTGGTCACCAACCCCCATCCCCACCAACATCCAAGGACCAGAGCGGGCTTGTACCAAGGAATGGCCAATCCCACACATTGCAACAGAGCACACGATAGGTGTCCATGCCAGCAAATCAGCACTGCCTTCTCTACTGCTTCACTGCTTCACAGGGACAACAGTGACACAGGCAAGCTGGAAATGCACAGGTGGTTGGGAACAGGGCAGGGGGCCTGGGGTGGGCGTGGAGTGAGAGTCTTTTTCCACTTTGTGAAGGTGTGCACGTGGGCTGGGGGGCTCTGTGCTTGGGGAAGCGGGAGTGGAGTCTGGCAGAGGGGATTAGAGCCAGGCCCAGTGACCTACCGCCCAGGCTGGCGGCACTGATGCTATTTCCCTGGGCACCTGTGCAGGCCAGCTTGCTTGCACACTGTGTCACTGTCATTGAGAGACTGTTCTCCAGTAACTCCTGGCGTCCATCCCCTCTGCCTGTGCCTGTGAGCCCGGGTGGCCCTGAGGGCTCTCCCCTGCTGGCCACACCGTCCATGACTAGGCCTCCAGGAAGGAAACCTTGCTGGCTGGGCTGTCTCAGTACGGGGAGTGCGGAGGGGGAGTGATACCCAGGAGAGCTGGGGTGCAGGGCTGGGTGGAGGGGCGTGGCCACACCCAAGGTCAGGGTCTAGTCCAGCAGAGCCCCCAGTCTGCTGCTTTGTAGGTCTGGAGCTGGAAGATCTTGCCCAGGAAGATTTCAAACCTGGGCTGAAGCAATGCCCTTTAGCCAGCTCCCAGGCCTCAGCCCTTGAAGTCTCCAGTCCTTGGGCAGCCCCCGGGGGTAGGGTTGAAAGGTGAGGGTGAGGAAAGCCCCGACCTCTGGCCTAAGCTGTAACTGGGGCTGGACTCCTTCCCACCTCCTGCCAGGCCAAACCAGTGCCAGTGTGGCCAAGGCTGGGCTTGCTGGTCTTCTTCTAGGCGGCGAGGGGGAGGGGGAGGCAAGAGTCCCAGACTCTGGGGCAGGCAGCTGGGAACTGCTCCCCATCCCCCCGCACCCTGGAGCCCAGCAGATCTCCAGGGAGGCCCTTCCCTATTGTCCCCTTTTTGTCTTAGTGCTGAGAGAGGTCAAAGGGAAATGAAGTAGGTGGTCTGAAGGCTGGACCTGTGGCTGATTTGTCCTCACAGCAGAAGTCAAGCAGGGAAAGGCCCTAAACTGGCAGAAGATGGAATTATGCCTGAGCTCACGGAAGTGCCTCAGCTCTCTGCACCTCACGGTGTCCTGCCTAAACAAGTTCAACCCAGGAGCCTCCTATGGCCACAGGACTCATACAGCCTGGCTGAGGAATGGGGACCGCCCAAGGAGGTCCCTGCTCTGTGGCATTAGCACCTAGCCTGGCTGGGCCGTGACCATGGCCTCTGTGCCTTCTCCTCCCAGCGGGGAACTAAAGAAAATAATTTCTGGAGGTTGGGGGAAAACTCACCAATCCCAGGATCGGGTCAGCATGCTAGAGTTCAAGTTCCACATTTCAATTTGGAATTTTAACTTATAATCACGTTATCTTTACATGTTTAAAAATTTTACAAAGCAGGTTTTTGTCCCAGGAAATACAGGGCAGCTTCTTGAAGGAGAAGACAGGGATGAAGAAGGAGTCACTAGCTATTGCTGATTGCTTTGGAGAAGAACTCAAATGACCTCAGACAACAGGAGGCCAGGGGAAGTATCAAACACCACGATCTTTGTGGAGATAGATATATAATTTTATTTTTAAAAGGAGATTTATGCCAACCAAGAGGAGGCTGGGCAGTTCTCACCAGTCCTGGATTTGGGTACTTCCTGGAGATATTGGAGGCCTGACAGTGTGTGGAGTGGGGACAGGAGGACCAGTCCTGCTGCAAAGAGGTCCAGAAATGGGTCCTTGCAAACTTCCAGTGCTGAGCACTGGAAAAGCCCAGCCACGGAGGAAACGGGCCCTTTGCACCCCAGGGACCAGACGTGAGACGAAGCCCTAGCCTGGCCTCAGGAACGGCAAGGCAGTGCACCTTGGATCTTGACCCCCAGGGGTTGGGTCCTGTCACTTCAGCCTTGTGGGTAGTTTCTAGAACAAGGAAGGTAGCCAGTGGCCGGGGCCCTGAGAGCAAGGCCGAGGTCAGGTGCTCAGGAACCAGGAGACAGATGGTCAAGGCTCCTTTCCCAGCCCAGAGGTTGGGGTGGGGGTGCAGAGCAGAGGTGCTGGGGTGGGGGAGGGGCAGGAGGATTTGTCTACCCGTCAGCTGTCAGGATGGGATCTTGACTCAGACACCCAGGGGGGCTGGGAGCCCTGGAGAACAAACCTGCTCCTACCTTCTACCCGCTCCATATATTTTGTGTTGAAATCCTAGGAAAAGTAACATTGTCTTTCTCTTGGGAAAAAAGAAAGTTGGAGTTTTCTGGGCCTGCCCGTGGAGTCTCCTGGCTTGTCCATCTGCTGGCAGCCAGGGGTGGCCACTACCTGGGGCGGGATAAAGCAGCAATAAATAAGAACCATAAACATCTGTACATAGAAGTGCTTGCTTTTACATTTAATTATATATTTTTAAAAGTTTCTCTCTTTTTTTTCCTTCTCTTCCTCAGTGCAACCCCTTTTTCTCAGCAAATGACCGCCTCTTGCCAGCCATAGGGGGGTGGCTGCTGACCACAGTGGCCCAGGGTGAGGCCCCACCTAAATATTCACAGCCTCAGACTCCTCGTGGTTTTTTTTTTTTTATGTTTGTGTGTGTGTGTGTTTGTTTCTTTTCAAGCAACAAAAGGTTATAGAAAAAGGCACAGGTAACTGCATACGTGATGGGAAGATAAGACGGATGGGGGCGAGCAGAAGCTGCTTGGACAGATCAACAGATGGGAAGGGGAGCCCGTGGCGGCATGATGATTCGAGGAAGTCGGCTGGAAACGTCTGTTGCCAAATACCGGAATCCAGATGCTGAAGCGGTCGGAGGGAGGCTAAGTGCTCCGGGGGCCCTGGTCCTCGGGCTGGTGTGGAGGTGCCCTGGGCCCCTCACTTCCTGAGGGCTCGGGGGAGCCCTGGCTGGTCCTGGGTTCCCCAGAGAGGTTCCTCCTCCGGGCTGGGAAGCGAGCAGAGGCCTCGGCCAGGCAGCCCACGGAACTGCTGCGGTCCAGCGGCGGGGTGGCAGGGGTGGGGTGGGCTGGCGCGCGCGGTGACTCCAGGCGGGGGTTCCGGGCCTCTGCCTTGCGGCCCTGGGGTGGCCAGGGTGAGGCCTCGTGCGGGGTGCGGGGGCTGGGGGTGGGCTCTGCGGGCACCTTGGCCACATGGGGCTCCCCGTCGGGAGGTCGGCCCAGGCCCCCGCTCGTCCTCCCCCTCTCCTTGGGGTAGTCCCCGGCCTCCAGCTCCGAGGAGAGTGTGAATTTGGAGACCTTAGCCACAGGGGACACGGAGGCCGAAGAGCTCTCGGTGGGACTCCAGCGACCTCGCTCCTGGGCCTCCCGGGCCCCTGTCAGGTCGCTGCCACCCCCCGAGAAGCCGCTGACCCAGGTGGCGCGGGGCCCCGGCAGCAGGGTGGAGTGGGCCCCGGGCCGGGCCTGCACCATCTGGATCCCGCCAATGGGAATCAGGGGGCACGGGGCGCGGGTCAAGTGCTGGGAGTGCAGAGGCAGGTGGCTGAAGATGTTTTCCTCTGTCCGGGCCGGGCTGTGGCTGTGGAATTCGTGGGAGGCGGAGAAGGGTCGGGAGAAGAGAGGACGAGCAGGGCCAGGTGAACAGGAGGGACTTGGCGACTCGGCCTTCTGCTGGGGTCAGAAAATAAGACCGAGTAAGGTGAGGGTTCCATGCTGGGCACGTGGTCCCCGTGCCTCTGGCCGGCATGTCTGTCTTCAGAGGATGGGGGTGTCCTGTGGCCCCCATGCGCCCGGCCCTCTATCTTGGTTCTGCTGCGTCTCTTGTTCCTTGAATGGTACTGACCCCACTTTACCCTTGGACGTGAATTCCCACTTAACGCTCTTGACCTTCTCCCACCACCAGGAATTTGAATGTGATCCCCACATTAAAAATCAAGTTTAGATGCCTAGGTCATGCTCCCCACCAGAGCTCGAATCTCTGAGTGGTGGTGTTGATGCGGCTGGTGGTGAGCGGCGGTGTTGGGTCCTGACAGTATGGTGCCTCGAAAGGTGTTGGGAGGGGAAAGGTAAGTTGGCGATGATACTGGTATCAGTGCTGGGGGGCATGGCAGCGGTGGTGACAGTGGTGGTGTTGGACGACGATGGTGACAACAGTGATCAAGCTGATGGGGTGGCAGTAATGGCCCCTGGAGTGTAATGACGGCAGATGGCACTGATGATGTGACAGGGATGGTGTTGGCTGCGGTGACTCTGAGGGTGCTGGTAGTAGTGATGTCGAGATGTGATGACTTTGGCTGCACTCTGCCCTGTGCTCAAAGAATACATGGGGATGGGGTGGGGGTGGGGTGAGAGGAAATGGCCACACCACTCTTAAGTGGTAGATCCTGGATTTAACCCTAGGAAGCCCAGCTCTAGAATCCCTGCTCGGCTGCTTCTGAGGCTAAGCTAACTGGTTTCAGGCACCCAGCCTGGTGCCCGGCATAGGCGATGCCCAGCACCCATCTGCTAGGTTATTAGTAATTGCTGGGCTGGCAGGGGTGCAGCTCCTTGTGTGATGCCTCACGGAGGTGTGAGCTCACAGCCCCCTACCCCCACCAGTGAGAAGTGGTCCAGCCACTCTGGGGGCAGGAACTCACCCACGTGGAGGCGCAGGTCTCCGCTGGGCTTCTGCCGAGAAGCTTGTGAGGTAGAGGCGCAGGCGGGTAGAGGGCCCGCGGGGCCAGCCCT